CAAAGGAAGATGAGCCAAGTCAATGTAGAATTATTAAACAATAACATTAATTAAAATGTTGCTACAGATCATCCCAAAAGAAATTGCCAGTAATTCCATCTGAACTCAGAGAAGGCTGTGGAATGAGTCCTATCACTGAAGCTCTCAGATGGATCTTGTCTGAAAGAGGGAAGTGGTTTATCTGTGTGTTCTTCAATTTATATAGGCATTTGAATATGTGGATCATATCAACGTATGGCTAATATTGCAAGTAATGAAAATTTTGGAACATTTAATTGTGTTCATGTAGAACCTGGACATAAACCAAGAGGTAGCTGTTAGAACCAAATAAGGAGAGATTACATGGTTTAAAAAAGGAAAGGTATGTTTTGGGGTTGTAGTCTTTCCCTATACTTAGTTACTAGATGTTGAGAAAATAATCTGAGAATCTGGACTATGTGAAGCAACATGACATCAGGCTTGGAAAAACACTCAATAACAATCTGCAATATTGTTGATAACACAACTTTGCTTCCTGAAAGTATTTATCGATGAAGATCAAAGACTACAACTTGCTGTATAAATTACACTTTAACAAAAATAATTACAATGGGATCAATAGACAACATGAAAATAAATGCCAGAAAGACTGAAGTTGACAAGGATTTCAACCTACTTGGGTCCGCAATCCACACCCATGGAAGTAGCAGTCCAGAAATCAAAGGATGAATTGTCTTGGGGAACTCTGCTGCATAAAACACTTTGAAATATTAAAAAGTAATGCTATCAACAGTGAGGTCTAAGCTGTGTCTGACCCATTCTATGTATTCTCAGTAGATATACACATGGATGTAAAATCTGGACAATGAATAAAGCTGTCTGAAGAATAATTGATCCCTTTAATTATGATGAGGGTGAAGACTATTGCATACACTATGAATTGACAAAAGAACAAACAAATCTGTCTTGGAAGAAGTAAAGCCAGAATTCTGGTGAGACTTTGTGTCAGATACTTTTAGGAGCCATTAGACTCTGAAGAAAGACATCCTAGTTGTGGTAGTTACATGATCTGGTGTCAGTTTGAGAGGATTACAAGTGAATGGGGTGGAGCCTAGTCTGTCAGTTGGATCATAGCTAATGAGACCTCTGTGTTGGCATGGCTTCTCCTGAGAATTCTGGGAAATCAGGGTCTCTCTCTCTCTCTCTCTCTCTCTCTCTCTCTCTCTCTCTCTCTC